TTAATGTAGCAGTATTAGCCTAGATAAATTATAAAAACCCATGGCGGGGAAATGGCAGAGTGAAGGGATCTGGTTCGTATGAAACCAACCTAAAACTTCAAAACTCCCAAATTTATAAAATTTGTTGGAGAGCAATTTTAAATCTTAAAATGCCTTAACGCTAAATGGGCTTATTCAACTTGCAAGAACGGAAATGAAATTCTTTAATCTACTCAATCTTAACACAAAACAAAACCATATTTTTCTCTGGATAATTTGAAACAAAACCATCTTCAGATAAAAACTATAACAGTTTTCCTGCGATTCATTGAGAAAAAGGAAACATGATAAACCTAAGGTTGTCGCTCTGACTTGAAACTGTCCTTTGTTTTACCAAGTGATCAGTCTTCTAGGACACCTGATTATCCCTCGACCATGGTCCAGCTCAAAATGAGCTTTGGCAAAATCTGTGCTCGAAAAGAATGGCCGTAGATCTGCAATGTCGTATTCGTTGGCCTGCAATGTAGACATGATAGTTGTGAAAAGTAAAGAAGAAGCATAATTCTAATTTTTTACAAACCAACCCTATAGAAAGTACCTTTGTCTGCAGCTCCTCTATCTTAACCTCTATAGAAGGTAGTCCTGAATTTGATCCTGAAATGATTTCTTCAAACTTCAAGGCATTCTTTACTAGCTCTTTCAGAAGCACGAGCAGCAGCGAGTTGTAGTCTTTCTTATATGTAATGTATCGCTTGAAACTCTGCACAGGGATAACCAAGTTTCATCAATTCAGACATCAGAACTCCATCGAACAACTAAATGAAAACTTGTCTAGCACTTATTTAGTACCTCTCTTAGAGTTCTCTGGACCCCAAATTTCTGGGTTGATATGAAAGAGTCAAGCAGGACTCGAATGGCCATGTTAACATCCTCCTCTGTAACATACTGCCTAAGATGCATCCTAGCATGTGCTTCGGACATTCGGATCATAGACTCAAGGTGCCTTGTCGCAATAGAAACTCCTTGTCCGTTCTGAACAAAAGATTCAAGCAGGTCAAGAGATTATGCTGCAGGATATTTGAGAAAGACGGGCGACCCATCAGTATAACTACAATAAAGAATTGAAAGAAAAACCTACCATTGATTCTCTTCTTAGATTAGCATAAACAGTTTCTAACTTCTTGGCATCTAATTCACTCAGTTTTGGGTATACATACAACTTTGAGTATGTTAAGTATTTCTTCAGTAGGTTCTGGGAAAGAACCTGTATATATGAATGAAAATAAAATTGCCATTAAGATATGAAAACATAGAAACTTCAGTGAAGCTGATACACATGGATATCATAAACCTCGGGATCAGAAGAACCGGTAGATCCCTGAATGCCATCTTGGGGTTCGCTATCATCCATCTTACCACCTTTGGGTTGAGATTTGAAGTGGCTATTGACAACAAACTCTGCAAGCATTTCATCTGTAACTGGGTCAACCACGTCCTGCAACAGTACGGTTAAAATTAAGTCATGCCGATAATAAAAAGCTAATGCAATCAGAGATATGATCACAAGAACAAGAAGCAGAGGTTTAGAAAAAGACCTTGACAACACACAGAATATCAAAACGAGAAAGGATCGGATCTGTCAACTCAACATTTTGAGCAAATGATTTGGATGAATCGTACCTAAAATTGCAATGGCACAAACATATTAACAAGATCAAGATCACAAATATTAGGTCAGTGAATGGGGGCATTAATTGCAGCCGTACCTTCCACCAACTGGATTAGCTGCAGCAATAACAGAGCAACGAGCTTGAAGAGAAGTAACTATCCCTGCCTTCGATATACTAATACTCTGCTGTTCCATAGCTTCATGTATACTCACCCTGGTTACAAAACTTAGATCATCAGCACCATTTTCTCCAGCAAGGTAATTATCAGTCGTTACATTTTGTTACCTGTCTTGGTCATTCATCTTGTCAAACTCATCGATCAAACAGATTCCTCTGTCAGCAAGTACAAGAGCCCCTCCTTCAAGCGTCCACTCCCTTGTAACTGGATCCTTGTGTACTGCTGCAGTCAGCCCAACAGCAGAAGCTCCCTTACCAGTTGTGTAGACAGCTCTCTGACCAGTTTTCTCAACATATCTGGAAGAAACATTTTGTCATTAATGGAAGATTCACCACAGCAAGTCACTTAGCCATAATAATATTCTTACTTCAGAAATTGTGATTTTGCTGTTCCTGGATCGCCTAGTAGAAGTACATTTATATCTCCACGCAATCTGTGTTTCCCTTTAATATTTTTCTCCTGGCCTCCAAACATCGCAAGTGCTATAGCTGTTTTGATATCATCGTGGCCATATATTGACGGAGCAATGGACTTAATGATCTGAGAGAGAAATTAAAATAATATTAAGAGATACGAAATCAAAATAATGTTGAGAGCAATTGAAAGGATTTTCCTTCAACTTACACGTTCAACTATACGTGGGTCCTTGGATAGCTCTTCGATTTGCGTCTTGTCCTCCTGGGTTAGCTTGTATGCAGAGAAGAGGTCTTGCTTCTTTGTAACATAATTTGCTTCCACCACTGTGGCAAAGACAGGAAACCCATTCTTTGTGTTCAAAGATAGGTCAAAATTGTTGGTATATATGCCAGTAACCTCCTGCAAAATATGCCATGAAGATAAAATCAACACCTATCATCTACATGGGTGCAAGTATTGTACAAGAGTAATGTAAGATGAAAGTACAATTTCTTCCCCAGGACGAGCGCAATCAATAAGGTCATTCAATAGGATAACTTCCTTGTGTCTTGGAAGTCGTCCAGCAGGCACAGTCCCTGGACTCTCTTGGATTGTAAGCTTCTGATAGTTCCTGTATATTGTCTGAAACAACAGAGTATATAGAGTCTGATCAACTTCGCATTCCAGTCAAGCTTACACTGAAGTTCATTCAGTTAAACGAAAATGATAGAGAAAACATAGAATCCTACCTGTTCGACATTAACAGTAAAAGGTCCTTTCGACTGGCATTCAGAACAAGAACCGACCTTGACTTCGGAGTACGAGTTTTGGAAGAAGGGACCCAAAATTGCTCCGCACTTGTTACAATCATATTTTACCTGCTGCAACTGAGGAAAGACCCCAGAACGCCTGGTGACAACTCCACCAATGCGGATCATCGTGTTAAGATGAATCTGCCTGAAAATTCAATAAGGTTAAGTTAAAATCTTAAAAGGATTACAAAGTCGTTCCTATCCAAAAGCTCAGCCAATTTAATTACCTGATGTTCCGAATCTGATCATTAACTGGCAGGTTGGTAACACGAACATAAATCTTTTGGTGAATATTCTTGTAGTTTGGATGCAGATCAAAGATGACTTTCTCAGAAACTTCCTCCATGACTTCAAGTACAGGTTGTGGAGCATCCGCCAGCCAGATAGCAATATTTGGGTGGACGTGGATGAATTCTTTGTAATCAATTTCCAGGCTGCATTTATTGGCTGCAAAGGAATCATAGAACAGTTCAGAGACCTAATGCTAGTAAATTTACAAGTAAAGAAGTCGTGTTGCTATAGCAAAGAAAATGAGAGAGTACCTAAGACCATTTCACTGATTAGACGAACGTATTCGATATCACCATTATCATTCTTTGGTTTCACATATGTGAGCAAAAAGTCTTTGAACTTCTTTGCAATAAAGCGTCGCACTTCATCTCTCGTAACCCATTCCCTGAGAGATCCTTGGATCCGATACATCTCAAACTCTGCTTCATCATCTTCTCCATCCTGTATTTAGGAAATCATGTATTAAGTAAAATGCACCTAGCCCCTCGAAGTTGAAAGATAGAGAATCAACATCATATTCGTACCTCATCTTGATAGTCATCTGTTTGATCAGTCATTGAGATATCATCTCTTGAGCCTGGCTGTGATGATCCAGGCGAGCTTGGATCACCATCAGGATCACCATTGCCTCTTGGTGGAACGGGAGGTTTGAAATCAGCACGAGACCTCTTGGAAGGTCTATAGTTCCAATCATCTGAATCTGCAGACAAAAGGACCATACTTGGAATCACATCAAAGTTGGTGAAATACTTTCATTTTCAATAAAGATAACATGGCGATAAACAACATGTGAAAAAACCCACAATCAGGGTTCAATTAGGGTTTTAGATTTACTCCAATTTGGGGAAAATCCATTAGCAATTATTCGACCAACACAGGAGACGAGGGTAGGAATTTCGATTACCATTGTCGTGAAGAAGATGAGGAAGCTTGCGGTTAGTTGCGCGAGTTTCTCGAGCATCGAGCACAGCTTCGGCGGCGCGACGGTCAAGCATAATCTGATCAAAGTTCCTCTCATCATCGACGGAATCATCCAATCCAACGGACTCGTACTGATCATGGCCATCCAAGTCACGGTAATCATCAATGAAATTGTCGTTGAAGAGAT